GTTCTCCCGTGGGGATCGGGGCGGGATGCACCCGGGAGCGCTGCGCCGTGTCCCCGGGAGGGTGGCCCGGGGCTGGGTGGCCCCGCGGTGGCCGCAGCCTCGGTCCCGGCGGTCACCGGGAGTTCAGGCCGCCGGCGGTGCCGGGCTTTGGGCCAGCGGCCAGAGCGGGGCCAGCCGCGGGTCGTGTCCCCCGCGTGTCCCCCGCGTGTCCCCGTGGCCGCCGTGACCCGCAGCACGGGCCGAGGAGCGGCCCCTGGGGACACGCCAGCCACGGGGCCACCGCCGTGCCCGGCCATCACCGCCGCTGTCCCCACGCGGGGACCACGGACACTTTCACTGTCCCTCCCACAGCGTCACCCCCTGCGTCCCACCCTGGCGACAACAGGGGGGCGGGGGGTGCGGGCACACGGAGGGGTCTGGGGAGGGGGGTTCCTTTCCAGCAGACCCCCCCTTTGGATGCTCCACCGGGGTGACCCCGAGTTTAACCCCACTTACGGCGCCGGAGGACGCTGTCCCCAACGCAGATGGCTTGTGACAGCCGAGAAGTCCCCCCCGGCGGGCGCTGGCGAGGCGCTGGCCGTGGCGGGGGGGGCTCCGCGAGCCCCGTGTCACGGCGCGTTGGCTCCGTCACCTCCCCGCAGCGAGGCGGCGGCTCCGGGGGCCCGGTGGCACTTGTCGCTCCGCGGCAGCCGCGGTGGCGCTGGGCACATGGCAGCCGGGGCCGCGCTGTGCGGGGCTGTGTCCCCCCCGCAGGTTGGGCACGGGGAGGGGGTCACAGCAAAGGGCCCGTCCCGCGGCGGGCAGCAGGGACAGCGCGGTGGCTCGGCCGGGAGGGGACACGGAGTGACTTCACCTGGCTGTGAAGGGCAGGAGGTGCCCGGCACTGCGAGTGCCACCAGCGCTGTCCCCTGTCCCCAGGTGTGGAAACCTCCAGGAAGAGCGGCTGGGAGAGGCCGGGAGCTGCTGGCACAGGAGTGGGACAGTGACAGGAGCAGGGCAGTGACAGGCAGGGGACAGGAGAACCGGGGGGACACAAGGAGCAGCCCCCCTCGGGGTGAGGCAGGGACAGGACTGAGGCACCTGGGAGTGATGGGGGCACCCTGGAGGGGTGCTGGCACCTGGAACACAGCTGGGCACGGTACCAGGGTGATGCTGGCCCTGGAACACAGCTGGGTATGGGTACCAGGGGCGGTGCTGGCACTGGAACACAGCTGGGTATGGGTACCAGGGGTGATGCTGGCACTGGGACACAGCTGGGCACGGGTACCAGGGTGATGCTGGCACTGGGACACAGCTGGACACTCCCGTGTCCAGGGTGATGCTGCCACTGGATTTCCAGCCTGGGCTCATCCACCCAGGGGTGATGCTGGCACCTGGACCCCCAGTTTGATGAAGGCACCCAGGGTGACCCGAAGACCCCAGAGTCTTGCTGGCACCAGGGTGATGCTGGCACTGGATTGCCAGCCTGGGCACAGCCACCCAGGGGTGATGCTGGCACCCCGCTGGATGAGGCACCGGGGCTCACCTCAGTGTGCCTCGGGCGGTTTGGGCACTTTGGGGGGTCCAGGCACCCCGGGAGGGGCCGAGCTGCGAGGCCGGGGCGCAGCAGCTCCGGGCCCTTTGCAGCAGAGCCGGGCTGAGGTCCGAGCGGGGGCCAGGGGAGCTGTCCCCAGGGGGTGCCAGCGGGGTCCCTCCCCCCTCAGGGCAGCCCCTCCGTTTCTTATAAACGCCTCTGGCGCGGCTCTGCCGTGACACGGCAGCTCCGGCCTCGCGGTTCCACCCCAGGGCTCCGGCTTTGAGTCACACCGGATCCCCCGCACCCAGGGGCGCCCACGGCAGGAAAAAAAACCCTCAGCCAGCAGCCAGCCGGGCACTTCCTCGCAGAGCCGTTTCCTATAAACCCCGGCCGAGGGGACGCCGAGATGGCAGCGTGTCCCCTGAGCCGGGCTGGGGGTCCCCGCAGCCCCCCCGGAGCCCCGGCTCGGGGGGATCCCCCTGGGAGGAAGGAACGGTCGGGAAGGAGACCCCAGCGCCACCGCGGAGGGCACCAGGGAATGTCCTGAGCCACACCTGGGGGAGCAGGACAGTGCCACCCCTCCACAGCGTCCCCGGTGCCCGTGTCCCTCCCCCCGGCAGGGGAGAGAGGGGCCCAGCAGCGACAATCGTTTCGTTTTTCCCCTAAATGATAAAAACACTGAGAAAAGGGGAAAAAAAAAACCCAACCCAACTGAGAGCTGGAAAAAGAAACCTTAAAGGTGCCCAAAATAAGAGGGGGTTTTGCCGGGAAAAACAATAAAATGAAGATGTCACCTAGGAAACGGCGAGGTGTGACCCGCTGGCATGGGGACACGGGGACACGGGGGACAATGGGGACATGGGGACACGGAGGACACGGGGGACATGGGGGACATGGGGACACGGGGGACACGGGGGACAGAGGGGACATGGGGACGTGGGGACATGGGGACACGGGGACACAGGGGACAAGGGGAAATGGGGACACGGGGGACACGGGGGACACGGAGCCAGGTGTGTCCCACCAGGGGTGGGAGGGGGCTGCCCAGCCCCGGGTGGCCCTGGGGACAGTGCCCTGTGCCTCTGCTGTGACATCGCCGGGCTTTAGAGGGGACAATTCCCCCAGGGAAGGTGACAAACGCCAGCCCCCGTCACCGCAAGAAGCCCCCAGCCCTCTCACGGCTGAGGCAGGCCTGGCTTGTCCCTTGTCGCCGCAGCTGGCACGGCCAGGCCACAGGGGGGACCTGGCGGCTCAGGGGGTCCCCACGGGTGACAGAGGGGCCGCTGCCCCCCACCCTGCTGGCGGGGGGTGACAGAGTGCCCGGCATGGCACCGAGCGACGGCCACCGAGCCCCACCGAGCATCGCGGGACCCCCGGGAGCAGGGGGAGCCCCCCGGCAGCGGCTTTGGGGCGCTGGGACCCCCAGAGTCACAGAGCACCGCGGGGAAGCTGCTGCACCCGGTGACACCTCCTGAAGGGACGGCGGTTTTGGGGGGCCCGGGGGGGTCCCCGCGGGGCCGGGGAGAGCCCGGCAGGTCCTGAGTCAGCGGTGCCGCCCCCGGGGGGAAGCGGGGCCGGGCCGGGACCGGGATGAGTAACGGCGGCCGCCGTTTGGCATTTATCACGTGATTTCAAAAAAAGAGAGAAAAATCCGGGGGAGAAGGTGGGGGCCGGGCCCCGCTGGGCTCCCAGCCCGGTCCCAGCTGGGGACAGCCCTGTCGCAGCCCTGTCGCAGCCCTGTCGCAGCCCTGTCACAGCCCTGTCACAGCCCTGTCGCAGCCCTGTCACAGCCCTGTCGCAGCCCTGTCACAGCCCTGTCGCAGCCCTGTCGCAGCCCCGCCACGCCCTGGCCACAGCTCGGGGGTCGTCCCCACGCGGGAGCCTTTGGGGACCCGTCCCTGCAGCATCACGGCCCCAAGGGGGGGTCACCGTGTCCCCCCCGGCTATGTCCCCTCCCTCCGGCCCCCCTGGAGCTGCCGGTGCCCACCCGGGGGGCCATGGTGGGCAGGGGCTGCTCTTCCTGCGCCGTGCCCGGGCGGAGCGGAGATGGGGGGCGATAAGGGGGCGGCCCCGCTCCTTATCTCCTCACACCATCGGCCCGCGGGCTGGGAGCCGCCTTCGCGCCCTGCTGGGGCCGGGCCGGGCTCGGGGGGCCGGGCCGGGACCCCCCCGCAGCCCCCCGGAGAGGCCCGGCCAGGGACGAGCGCTCCGTGCCCGGGGGGCTCCGCTGGGGCTGCCCCGCCCGGGGGTCCCGCAGCTCTGGCCCGGCCCCCCCAGCCCGCAGGAGGGGCTGTGGGACCCCCAATAACACAGAGCAGGGAGGGAGGGAGGCGCGGAGCTCCCCCTGCCCAGACCCTCCCAGGAAAACCGGCAGAACCCCCCCTCCCTGCCACCCATCGCCCCCCGGGTCCGGCCGTGTCCCCGTGTCCCCGCTGTCACCGCGAGCTGCTGAGCTCCGTTTTCCTTCCCACTGTCCCGTTTTGTGTCACCCAATAAACCCCAGCCGGGCCGGGAGCTGCAGGGCACCCCAGACCCCGTCACCCCCCCACAAGCTGCCCCTGCCCAGCCCCCAACTCCTCCCCGACCCCAGCCCCATCCCGGGGGCACCTCCAGCTGGACCCCCCCTCTCCTCCCCCCGGGACCCCAGAGAGGAGCCGCCTCCGCCCCCTCCGGGGCCTTTCGGGCGCTGGAAAGGTTTTATTGGAGTCGGTGGTCGCAGCGAGGGCGGGTCCCTCCTCCCGGGGGTCCCGGCGTCGCGCGGGGGGGTGCGCTGTGACACGGGGGGGACATCATGCCGCGCGGAGCGGCTCGGGGAGGGGGG